AAACCTAATGGAGGTTGCTAGTCTGAATTTTGAATCCTTTTTGTATTGGCAATCACAGTTAGCTTGCCATTTTCTCCATTTCAACCAGAATATCTATAAACTATTATCCTCTGCCTGTTCCATCATTGTATGGTAGAAACAGATAACTCAAACCTTTAGTTTCTCGGGCCACAGATAGATGGGGATTGTGTGCAAGGAAGGTATCACATTTGATAATATACCAACAGTTTCAGGCACACCAGATTCAGAACACAGATAAAATTTGGGACTACTGAGCTATGTTGCAATAGGATTGGACTTTTGGAGACCTGTAAATAGGGTGTTTTTGCATCTGGAAAGAATGTGAATCTTTGGGAGCAAGAGGATAGATTGTAGTTCCCAAAGTACGCCCCTGCTCAAAGTTCCAGAATTTTAAAATGCTGTCATGTGGCAAAAGAAACTTTGCAGAGAGGTTCCAGGTCAACAACGGACCCAAGAGTCAATTGCTGACATTGAATATGGAAGGGCAGCAGGACCACAAAGAACAGAATCCTCCCAATTACCTGAAGGAGCTTGAAAGAAGATTGTTCTCTTGAGCGCAGGTAGTTGAAGTATGTTGATGTTAGTCTTTTGAGATCCTAAGCGGAGAATTTGGTTGGGACATGTTGTACCTGGACTTCTGATTAATGGAAATCCTGAGATAATAAATTTGAGTTGGTTTAAATTACTTTAAAAAAACATGTAAAATAGGAAGCCATTTCCCCCCCTAAATAAATTGAATTCATGGAATAAACTGCAAGGATCATCCTGTTTGGGACAGGTATTTACCTTTTTCTTTTTTTTCAGGTTGGAGATTGAGAATGCAATTTCATTTTCCTCTTCCTGGCAACCTCTGAACCACAGAGAAGAAATCAACTATAATTTGGAAACTTTCTGAATACCCTAACTAATTGATATAAACAAACAGACATTCTAGCTGAGAGACCATTATTTATCAGTTTTTCCAGGTACCACTCCTTATTTAACTTCAGATCTTTTCAGATGTTTTGGAGTATTTTTTAGTGGGCTCATTTTGCCTATTTCTGTTTATTCTAATCTCTCTGCCTTGTTCTGTGCTTTCCTTTATGTACTAAAGTCACTTAGGCTGCTATAACAAAATATCATAGACTGGGTGACTTACCCAACAAACACTGACTTCTCACAGCTCTGGAAGCTAGAAAGTTCAAGATCAAAGAGCTGGTTGACTCATTCCTGGTAACAACCCTCTTCCTGTGTTGCAGATGGAGCCCTTCTTGCTGTATCTTATTTGTCTTTTTTTGTTCAATAATTTCTTTCCTTTCTATATACCGCTGATCATTGCTACATCACTGTAGCTCCTCTGAACCAGTGACTTCATTGCTATCCAGAAGTCTCAAAATTCATAATTAAAAGTAACTTTCACAACATTCCAAATATTTCAAATACATTGTAAAAGCTACATCCTTACTGTATTTTATGTTGTATAAAGTAAAATGAAGATTTGGAATTTTGCAATGAAAATGTAAACATACTCTCAAACATAATGCAAATTTATTTAGCCAGAAAATTTAATGGCATTGTTAATTTCTACACCCCATGAAGCACATGATCAAGTGACTGGCATATAGTTTTGAATAAATAGATGGGTGACTACTTTTGTTCCCAATGAATAACAGGCAAGAATTTCCTATTTGCTATAGCTGCTTTTCTACTTTCTCTAGATTTATGATTCAATATGTAACTAAAGAAGGGTTTCGATGGATTAAATACACTAAAAATTTTCCTGTATTATGAGTGAATACAGTTTGAAACATGTATAAACATTAATGACCTTGTTACATTATAAAGTTGTCCTAAACACTATCTTGGAATGCTGCCAAATTCAACCTCTAAAACATTGCAACTATTTACCAATAAAATAAAACTTGCTTTGAAAACAATTCTCAAGAGATTCATTTAACCCTAAATCTCATTTAAATAACCTCCCGAAATCTTACAATAGCAGAATTCAGATGCAATAAGATAGAAGTTGCAACATACAAAATCATGACCATTCTACTAGTAGCCTTTTTAGAAGCATTCAAGTTTTCTCTCTCTCACCTGGATACAGCAGCTTTGAATTTCAGACTCTCCTCAATGAGAGGAACAGACTTTTTCTCCTTAATAATTAAGTCATTAATTTCCAAGGAAAGAGAATTGAATTCTTTACTAACTTCTAAACAACAACAAAAACTGAGCTAGCCTACACCATTACACATTTACATATAGGTTTGGCATAGCATGAAACATGAATTTGATTGACAAAAAACTTAGAAAGCACTCCTTGGACAGCACTTAAGGGTTTAGCAAATATTTATTTCTTTTTCATCTAAGTTGAACCAAGTAGAAATTGTATATAATGTATAGACAAACTATGCAGTGCATAGTGGCATATCCATGTGATAGTCAAAGAGACACATTGTCATTAGTCTTTGTAGCTTGCTACCAGATAATAATAAGTCTCATGGCTTATAATTGGTGAAAAAAAATATGGCACATGCCATTATGAACCCAGGCAAGCAAATGAAGTCATACAAAGATACCCCTGTATAGTTCTCTAGCTCATCACTAAGCCACTTAAACACAAACAGAACACATTCAATTCATAATAAAAGCCAAAATACAATGCCATCTTCTGAAGGAAAATAAGGTGAAATAAACATAGCAACTTAAGTAACTCACTACAATCAAAGAGTGTTTTTTGAAAATCTATTATTTATATCTGATTCAAATGCAACAGTTGTTGGCCTGAAAAATGAGCATTGCTTTTGAGAACATAATTCAATATGATACTCTGTTTTAAGAAAAAGAGCATCAACTCCTATTGTCATCACTGCAACACTTTATCCTGGAGAAAGATCCCCTATGCAATGCCAAGTGATTTTCTTACATATTTCACAGGCTAGGGAATGTCATAAGATGATCCATTTCTAAGGACAACAGCTGCTTTGTTGCTTCATGCTTAACATCAACACTTAAAATGATTTATTGTATTTCACAAATCTTACAAATGTTCATAAACACTATGAAGATTTACAAAACCCTACACCCTATAGGAAATATTAGACACTTGAAAAAAAATCCTTAGTATTTAACAAATTTTGGGAAGGGAAAAATCTCTAAAATATATATGGAATTGCCACTTACTAAACAGGCAAAGTCTTTGTTTCCTTTCTTCTAGTTCTCATTAGAGTTCATTTCTATTTTCAATCCCTGTTTCCCCAAGTTGATAGCTATATACTGAAATATGCAGTAATAAATACAAAAGAAAAAAAATTAGCAACGAGGAACGGTAGACATGAAAGAGACCTCACAAATCTTGGAAGTAAAACCCTAAATTGTCGTTCTCTTTACTAACAAATCTGCATCTTTACCCCGCTGGGTGACAGGGTACTGAAAGAGGAGATGTGTGTTGTTCTGCATCGAGGATCATTCTATTTACAGGCCCTCCCCTTACAGAGAATAAGCTGGAAGAGGTCTGAAAACACAGACTGAAACTGCTTGGAGGTACTTCTTTAAAACTAGGACAGAGAGGTGATTTTTGAGTCTCAGTCGTGTATTTCCAGAGGGCATGATTTCTCTCCCTCTTGAAGTGTAATGTCTGGGTAGAACGCAGACGGTGGGGGAGAAGTCTGAATTTTTCCTCATCTTGCAGGTAGGTGGCTAAGTATATACGATCATGTTCAAGAAAGAGGAAATAAATCTGACCAATTCACTTGTAATTTTCCAAGCCTGTGCAGTTCTCAAGGAGATTCTAAGTTTGAATTCTAACCCTAGATGGACAAGACTGGGAATATAATTTTGTGGTATATTTCAGATTCTCAAAGACAGAACAATGTTGGTTGTTGGTGGGTCTTCTGAGAGGCAATAGAGATTTATCTTAGATTGCATCACTGCTTGTGTATATGTGTGTGTGTGCCATGCACCTCCAGAGAGAAAGGGAAGATAAAAAATAAATATATCTCATATGTATATGAAATGCAGGGCTTCCCCTGAATTGCAGGATCGAGTCTTCAAAATTTTATCAGGCTTCTTTCAAATCAGTAATTTAAAATTCTTGGGGTAGGATTTCTTTTTCTAGGATCAGTTTTAGTATTTCATATCAACCTTATTTTCTAGTTAATAGTCATTTCATTTTAGTTGACTATCTTGTAGTTTCATTTAATGTTTAAGGCTGACTCACAGTATTTTTGTCAGTCTTAATTTCTCTAGTTACTGCATTTTTCAGTTCACAAGTGACATCACTGCTATCATTGAATTAACTGTTTGCATGTGTTATTGAGAGTAAAATAACTACTCTGCCACATCTGTCTGACTTGAATTTGTAAATTCAAATACCAGAGAAAATTCTGCTCTTGCCTCTCTCGTTCTAATGGAGGAATATTTTCAGTAAATTGTGATTTACTGACTTATCTGTTGACTTTGATATATAAAATAGAAACTTTGTGAAGGCTATGTTCTGTGGTTATGGCTCTACTTCACATTGGTCAGGCTTTTCCCACATACTGTTACTTATCTTCCATACCTGCTGATTTAGTTTTGTGTTGGTGGGCAGCGATGACCCCTGGTGGATTCTTAGGAAAATAGCAAGTGAATTTTTCAGAGAATGTTAATTATGGTATTTGTTTATGCTTTAAACCCTTTGCTGCCTGATGGCTTACAGAATGAACTTTAAATTTTTTTAAGTGAAAATGCAAACTATTACAAATTATCATCACTTTAACTTAATTATATAACCTATAAACTAAGTTTTAAAACAGAAGTATTATTAAAATTAGCATTTAAATAAATATTCATAATTATTCTCATGTGTTATTTGCTTGCTTTTAATTTTTATTTAAAATTCTCACTACAAAATTTCATGTTTTAAAAAGGCAAATGCATGATAAAACAGGAGAAGGAAAGACTTCAGGAAATAAATATCCTCAAAATAAAATCACTTAATATTTATAAGTGAAAAAGCAAGATAGCTCTGAACATTTTGGTAGATAAGTGAATTCTTGAAATTATTTTCCTATTTTTAACACAAGATAGAGGAATATTTGATATCTGAGATCAAGATGTTTTAATATTTTTTCATAAATAAAACATTATGTCTCTGAAACATATTTTAGATTTTAGGGAAGATTATTTAGGAAGCATAAAATTTAAGTTTAATAGAATTTCCATGGTGTAATGCCTTTATTTTTGGATTGTGAGGCAATAAATTATTCATCAACAGATTACATTCCTCCTCAAGTATGGCATAAGCACTAATGTAATTTTATTTCAGTAATTTTTTCTGAAAATGGAGATGTATTTATTATGAAACTTCAAATCTTTACGAGACAAGTATCTGTAAAAATAAAAAGATGAGAATATAGTTTTCTACCACAAGAGGGCGGCATTTTTTTTTTTTTTTTTTTAAGTTACAGTTTGACACTGATTATCAGAAGTTACCTTAACTTCATTCTTGCCATACGGGAGTGAAATTGGAAGAATATGTTTTCATCATGCAACAAATATAACTACTTACTGTGAATGTGGTTTATGGAATATTTTATGAAAGGCACAAACCTTAATGTAACCACAATTTTCCTTCATGGTTTAGAATAATTATAACATACCTGCTTCATAAAACTCATAGGTTAGACAACACTAACACAATAATTCTTTAAAAGTACAGACAGTCGAGAATATTAAAGTATCTGACATTCTGCGTATTTTACATCGTGGTGGAAAGGCAAACTCAGAGATTAAAGCATTTATATTTTATTTTTTTCTGTGATTCTTAAACTCTAATTTTTCTTCAATATTGCAGTAAATTTGTCTTCCAAGAGTAAAATAATAATTGACAGAGAAAAGCAGTCAATACTTAAAATTACCGCTATGGTCACTTTTGATAAATATAATGTGAAATCACTGAACAAAACACTTCTTCAAAAAAATTAATTTCATATGATTCTTAACCAGTCAAATGAGCATATAGAATAAATTATCATAACACCTTTATAGTCATTTCTGTATTACAGAAAGCTCTTTTAAGTAATGCAAAGGAGTTGGATGGTTTCTCTCTCTCTCTCTCTCTCTCTTTTTAGGTTCCAAATATAAATTCTTCAGATGCAAGTAGTTTCACCCCATCAGGAGTCTAGTGTGTGCCTGGGCAGGCGATAATGCTCAGCTTTAGGTCGGAGCTTCTTTTCCTGTGGATTGGCATACTTCCACTTCGAGGGTGACATTTTCAGCTTTTTTCTCTTCTTATCTGTGCACCATACCTTCTCACAGTATTCTTCTACTCTCTGGAAGTTGCTATAGCCAATCAGCTGCAAGAATTCCTTGTACCATGGCTTTGCACCCTGTGGAATGCTGCTCTGCACAGGACAAGGCATCTTGTGAGGCCCATCCTCTTCGTAGTCTTTGTTAAACATTTCTTCCACTCTCTCCTCTTCCACCACCTCCAATGTGATTTTACGGACTATATGAACAAAACTATGCTCTACTGTCTGGCAAAAATAGGTCCCAGCATCCATTTTGCGAACCCTTAGGAAGAGTAAACCGAGGTCCATCTTAACCACTCTATCATCTGTCTTCACCTGTAAGAGCAAGAAAATTAATGACAACGGAGTATTGCATAGGAGGAGAGAACACCACCTAAAGTAGACTTTAGACTTTGTGTCACTCAGCTCGTTTCCACAGGCCTCCAGGCCAGGCCTCTCAGCAGTCTCCTCTTTGCCATTAGCTTTCTCCATAAATTCACCATCTCTTATCTCTGTGATCACATCACACCTCTGGCAATATTGACTGTTGTACAGTCTCCATTGTTTCTAACCTTGTGGCTGCATTTGACATAGATGGGCCTACCTCCTTAAGTCTTTTTTTTTGTTTCAGGACATTATTAACAATGTCCTGCTCTCTCCTTGCTTCTTTCTTGATTTCTCCTGCAGATTTTTCATTCCTTTCCAGGCACAATCCTCCTCATCTCATGTTTTATTTGTATCCATTTGATAACTCTCACATTTCTTTGTTTCAACCTCTTTCCCTAAGATGGTAGATCTTACCCATAGATGATCCACCATTTTGTCTTTTCTGTTAACTTTAAAACAGAGATTTACATGATCATTACCTATAATTCAGTTCTTTCCACTCAAACATTCCACTCACTTCAGTTCCTTTCCATTTAATAATTTCCCTATTTATTACATCATTATTCTTCTGTTCCCCCATTCTTGACTGTTAAAGATTTATATTTCTCTCATTGTTATGTCCTCATATGTAATCGTCACAAATTCCTATCAACATTTCTTCAATGTTGACCCTCAGAAACATCAGTTCCCCTTCACTATTGTCACAATATTAGACTCCCATACCCCGATGACTGTTTTGAGCTTATCTCAAGCAGACTCTCCCCCCAATCTCCTTACTTTCTGTTCCTGCTTTCCTGCCCAGTTTGATGCTATTTCAAGACTGATGTGACTATCTACCTCAAGGGATTTCCTTGAGGCTGGTTCCTTTCCATTCTGAGAAAGGCTTAACTAAAGTCATCTCTTTATCAGGCCTCTTTTCCTCCCTGAGCACGCAACAATATTGGCAAAGATATAACAGAAGTCCTTCAGTTCTTGTCTGTATTTTCCTTTTATTTCAACAAATGAAGATCAATGTGTGTTCTCGAAGAAATTTTTAGGCTGGTGGTATTTTTTTCCTATGATAATCAATATAAATAAATATGCAATATTTGGGGGCCATATGGAAGATCAGCCTCTTTGTTAGTATTTGTGTTTATCATAGATTCTGAACTATTTTCAAAGCTTTAATAGTTTCCAGCTGCTGAAAAGAACAAAGATGGATTTAATATGTTAATGGTATGTTCCAGTCAAATGAAAAACAAACAACATCACTATGTAGTAATGTACTAAAAAGTTTTGAAGTCACTTGAATAAAGTGTTGGGGGGATTGAGTCATCACATGGCACACATCACTGTGGGCAGATGTTTACACACACACACACACACACACACAGTCATCTGGGTCCCATGATATGGCTATGCAGATACTTTTCATCAGTGGAAAAAAAAGCATCACATTATATAAAGAATTAAATGATGTATAGGTTTGTTTATACTTTATTGGTATATTTATTTTGGTTGGTATTTGAATAAAAACTATAAGCATAAGCATTTCTTAATTCAGTCTGCTGAATATTTAATAAAGGGCTTAATGTGAGTTATACTAGCAGTTAAAAAAATGTTTGGAGGGCAGGTAGTGGGGGCCACTTGTGAGACTTCCTCTTCACTAGCCCTGTTCTGTCACCTAATTGCTCACTTCTGGATTTCACTCTGGTCTTATACTTCTTTCCTTCCATGTACTACCAATCCATTTTTTAAAACTTCTTACCAGGTTTAAGCTTTCACTTTTGATGAATACTTTATTTACAGTCCACAAAAATTTGTTTCTTTTTGTAACTCAGTGACATCCACATTTGTATTATATAAGCTGGTATTTATATTCCTCTTCAAATTATTGTACCATGCAAGGTTTTACCACTTTAGTCATATTATAAGCTTCATAAGGGGCACAGACCTTTTTCCTAATTATTCTTCATGTTCCACAGTAAGTGAAGTGCTCAGAACACAATGATAAATGAGAACACATTAACTTGTTCATAGTCTACAAGCATGCAAAGCACTAAGGTAGACCAGGGAGGATATATCCAAAAAGTATGCACATCTTGTAGATCAAGCCAATAATGATTTGGGTGGGGAGGGAGTAATTTCAGGAGGAGTTAGTAACTAATGAAAGAGGTCTGCACTTCACACACACATAGGAAAAGTAGCCCCAGGGCTTTGCCTTCACCTAAACAGAACCTGTATGCAAACATTCTGATAGATCTGATCCTTTGCTCTCTGCCTCCTTTATCTCCTGTGAGAGTGAATAATACATGAGAAAATACGAGAGTCATCTAGTCTACTTTCTGTATATAACAAGCAGTTTATGAAAGTATCTTAAAATAAAACAAAGAGCCCCCCCCCAACCCCCGTGACTCAGCGGGTTGAGCACAGCGCTGTGAAGCTGTCCGCAGCCTCTGCAGTGTGGGTTGGATTCCTGGCAGGCCAGGGAGCAACCCATACGGCGCGGCAGACCTCTCTTGTCTTGCCTGCTGCTCCCCTCAGTAGTGTCTTCGGTCCATCTGCCTGCTCTGCTCCCCACTCTGTCTCTGATGAATCTTCTCACCCCCTGCACCTCTGGCCTGTACTCCAGTTCTTGTATAAATTAAAAAAAAAAAAAAAAAAAGAGCAAAATGGACATAAACACAGAATTAAAAGGGCATTGAAAAAAATTTTTTTTTAAATCAAGGCTGGTTATAAAAAGAAGTTATTTCTTTCATAATAAGAAGCCCAAATTTTAGAAATACTGTATTGTGTATATTAAGTCCAGATTGATTTAAAGATGTAGAAACAAGAAAATTGCAACGAGAATGGACCTATATAATGTATTTGCATGTTGGAGATGGTGCCTATCTCAGAATTCTAGTTTTCAATCTCTCCCAACCCCAATATTCAGATTATGGTGGACCCCAAATTCAGGAATGAGAGATTTTTTTAACACTCAGATCTAGACAGCTGTATATACTATGTAGGTTAAATCAGCCTGAGAGTTAAATCTATCTTCCATGGGCTATGAATACCAAAAATAAAAAATGACTTAGAAATTTGTATTTGAAGTTCTACCACAATTTGATCTTCCCACATTAGTTAACATGGGTCCCTTCAACATCATACCTTGATTACAGAATTGTTTTCATCTAGTTGTGCTTTTTCTATGTCTGCAGACCAGATTTCCTTGTTCAGGAGGATGGTACATATCATTTTATCAAATATTCTTATAGGCAGTCTATAAGATACTGAATTTCTTACTGAAAATGGCTTTAATATTCTGAGTTATAAAAATTGATTCAATGTGTTTCACGATGTAAAAAAAAAAAAAAAAAGGGTAATTGAACCAAGAGCCCTGAACATCTGGTAGCTGCTTGGGAAGAGCAGTGGTTTCCATGTGTATCAGCCATCTGTTTCAACACTTTTCATGGGAAAAGGACAGATATGGGGCTTGAATTGTTTTAATTCTGAACATTGAACAATGAAATCAGTTTAGTCAAGAAATAAAGATCAGCAATTTACATGTTTATTTGTTTGTTGAGCTGGTCTGCTTCAACAGAGAAAAAAAGGCTGGCTACAGAAAAGATATCAACTATGATAGCATAAAAAAAAAAAAACCTTTTCCTTTATTAAAAACACTTCCCAATATAAACCTGATATATGACAGAGATGGTTAACTAGCAAAATTAGTGTTAACTGCTTAATGGATCACTTGGGGAAACATCCTATTATACAGAGAGCAAATAAAGTTTTATTTTTATTTCAGATTATTTCAAAATGTGGAAATCTTATTTCTAACACAAGATGAAGCCAAGAAGAAAGTAACTATGAGAACAAGACATCCACACCACATTGAAAAAAAGTGTTATACTTAAAACCCATTATAGTAAAGAAGAAATTTGAGACATTTATATCTAAGAGACAAAGATGTAAGGAAGTTCTTGAAAGTCAATAATAAGAGAATGAAAAAAGGTATTCAAGTAGACAACTTAGAGAAGATATCCAAATGTTCAGTAAGTTTGCAAGCTAATGGTCAACTTAGAAATGCAATTTTAAATAATGTACTATCTTACAGCCCGAAGAAAGGCAAAAAAAAAAGAAAATATTAAGTATTGGTGAGGATGTGGGGAAACGGGAATCCATATGAATTGTGTTGAGTGTGTAGGTTGTACAGAAATCCTGGAATTACAGGATTAATTCAGAAAGGCAGTGATATACAGAAATGATATTAACAGATAATAAAGTAGAAATTTTCACTCAGATATAAAGGAATTATTTGCAGACATGATCACTAAATATGTGTCAATGGGAATTCAAGACACTCGTTGTCCAATCTCATGAAAATGAATCACTTAAAAGCAATGATCGCATGACCTGGGATGTCACATAGCAGTCAGAAACAATGAAATAGAGAAACAGAAATGGTGATAAACCGCAGCAACAAAATGTTGAGTTCTAAAAAGAAGCAGAATAAGATCTACAACACATTTCTTTTTATATCCCAGATATACTCAAAATATTATAAATTTGTTCAATATACAACAGTAATATTTCATTTATTCCAGTCATTTCAAGGAATAGGAGAAAGTAAGGAGGGAAGTAGAGAAAGGTGACCCAGGAAAATAAAGTCAAAAAAGAAAGGAGATTTGTGTGAACTGGCTATGATAATGTTCCATAAACTAAGTAGTATGATTAAAAATGTTTTGCATATGAAATCAAAATGAGAATGAAAGTGTAAACAAAAAGAAGTAATCCAGTTGTTTATAATGATTATCTTAGTTCAGAAAGCAATAAGCTAAGTCTGTTTGCAAGGATACATAATTATGATTTTAGAAATAATGCTGAAAAAAAAGTTTAGGGGGTTTCACTGAAAAGTTTCTTAGACAAAAATGTCTGGATGATCAGGATGAAGGGAAAATAAAGGACAGAGGGTGAAAGTAAAG